GGCCTGCTGTGTTCCTCCAGCTCCACATTGTGTTATACCTGGAATGTTGTGTGCAGTTTTGGTCATCTTATTTCAGGAAGGATGGTTTTTGATATGGAGGAAGTGCAGCAAAGGTTTACCAGACTGATTCCTGGAATGGCAGGACTGATACGGGGAGATTTGAGTCGGTTAAGATTATATTCACTGCAGTTCAGAAGAATGATGGGACTTCTCAAAAAAAGCTATAAAATTCTAATAGGACTACACTGGGTAATTGCAGGAAGGATGTTTCTGGTGCCCAGGGAGCCTAGAATCAGATGTCATAGTCTAAGGGTATGGGAATGGCAGCTTAAGATTGAGAAGAGGAGAAATTTCATCATCCAGAGAGTGGTGGGCCTGTGATATTTTCTGCCACTGACAGTGATTGAGGTGACAGCATTGAATGGTTTCAAGAGGAGTTAGATATAATTCGTAAGGCTATAGCGATCAAAAGGTCTGGAGAGGAAGTGGGAACAGGGTGTGGAATTAGATGGTCAGCCATGTCTGCAATTTCAGCCATAATCTGCAGGAGGTGGTTTGCTGTTGAGTAAGGGGTTGTCATGCTTTTGTTATCTTGTAGTTATAAGGGATCACAGTGCGGGTTGTTTTGACTATTTTCCTCCCAAATTTGAAGGGCTTTTGTTTGAAGTTCCTTTGCATTTATAGGTATGATATTCCGTGATGATTAAGTACTTTCCCAGTGGATATTAATACTAGATCGTTCAGTGACCAGTCATTTGTTTGGGACACTTCACTGCCTGAATCTTCTAATGGCTAGGAGGTTGTTTGCTTATGTCTGGGACATGAGTGGGGGAAATGATAACTGAGGCAGATTCTTTGTCTGTATTCCATGACATTTCAGGTTTGTCCTGCTGCCAGGTTCTCCAAATTCGCAGTTTTCATCTAGCTTTGGGTATTTTAGCACCTTCCCTCCACCCTCTAGAATTCCTTAAGCAAAATGAGTCTGTTTTCAGTGTCAAGTGATCTGGTGTCAAGGCACTGCATTCCTTGTGCACTTCTGGCATCAGGACACTATCATTTAAGGCTAGCATCATTGCAACACCAGAGTGTTTTATAGCTTAACAAAATGATCGAAGATCTGAAGATTTCAAGTGGATTGGGGTGTGGGGACGGAATCTGCTTCTGGATTATAGCAGGCTGAGGTTTATAAAACCTAATAATCTACAGAAGGAAAGAATTTCACACAAAGAACTTGTTCTGTGAGCATTACTGGCTACAGGCACAGGATTATTAAGTATGTACAAAATATGATAGTTTGCCATTGTTGTCCTCCTCACCATCTTGAAGATTTGTAGGGATTCATCATAATCCCACACTATTGGCATATTGTGACCTCCATGCACAAAATGGCTTCTTTTCAGCAGATTGTATTGCTTTGGGACATTGCTAGCTTGATCTTGTTAAGATGGAGCCATTTTACTCATTTTGCAGCTGGATCACATACACAATGGGGGCTAGCTTTGTCCACAATACTACAAGGCAGCTCCTTAAACTGGATTTAAACATGACCACCCTTGCATTTTGTATACTATTGCCTCATCAACTATGCACCATTCCTGCAGTTTGTTTGGAGCTAGTACATCTGTTTCTTTGATGGAATTTGCCAATATTGCTGGCTGCCTGCAGCTTCTATCCTCTGATTTTCTCTAATATCTTTAAAGGATTTACCAGCTTTCCCTTCATGAGCATCCAATTGTGGATATTTGTTATTGAGTGGACTTACTGCCAGACCCTTAATTGTGCCAATCCAAATTCCCTTTGCTTTATTATTACTTCCTGCCACCATTATCATTTTGATTATCAATACCAAATTGATATATTCAATTATTAAGTAATTTAATTGATTTATTCAATGTGATGTCATTCCATTCTTATTTTAAGTGAGACATCCCATTAATTACCTTTTATTTTACTCGAACTCTGGAGAACTTTATTGCCCAATTATAAACATGTTTTCGTAATATTTTCAAAACAGAAACCATTTACAAATGCTTCTAAGCATTAGCACATTTTCTCTAATGCAACTTGTTTGATTGCTCAAATAACTGTTGATGAATTAACAGGTTTTATTAGTGTCCAACTAATTGCTTTTCAAAAGGGACAATATTTTTGCCACATCACTGAAACCATCGAGACTGTGTATATAAGACCATAGAAGAAAGGAGAAGAATTAGACTATTCAGTCCACTAAGTTTACTTCACCATTCAATCATAACTGATATGTTTCTGAACTCGATTCTCCTGCCTTCTCCCTGTAACCCTTGATCCACTTAGTAATCGAGAACCTATCTATCCCTGTTTTAAATACACTCAATGACTTGGCCTCTGCAGCTTTCTGTGGCGATGTGTTCCACGGATTCCCACCTTGCTTAATAAATTCATCCCTTTCTCAATTATGAAGAGTCATCCCTTTACTCTGAGGCTGTGCCATTTTGTACAAGTCTCTCTTACTAAAGGAAACTTCATCTCCACATCTATTGTATCTAAGTCTCTCAGTATTCTATAGTGTCAATGAGATTCCATCTCTCCTAAACTGTACTCAAGTCCTCAACCACTCCTCATGACAAACCCTTCATTTCCAGAATCATTCTTGTGAACCTTCTCTGGACCCCCTCCAAGGCCAGTACATCCTTCCTTAGATATCAAAACCAAAACTGCTCTCAATATTCCAAATGTGGTCTGATCAGAGCTTCATACAATCTCAGCAGTGCATCCCTGCTCTTGTATTCTAGCCCTCTCAAAATGAATGCCAGCATTGAATTTGCCTTCCTAACTTCCAACTGAAGCTGGATGTTAACCTTCAGAGAATCCTACTGTAGGACTCCTCAGTGCCTTTGTGCTTCAGATTTTAAAAGGTTTTCCCCATTTAGAAAATAATCTGTCCCTCTATTCTTCCTAATAACCTCACACTTTCCCACATTGTATTCCATCCACTAGTTCTTTGCCAACTCTCCTAGCCAATCCAAATGTTTCTGCAGTATCCCCATGTCCTCAACACTACCTGAACCTCCATGTATCTTTGTGCATTAAGAGCAACAAAGACCTCCAGTTCCTTCATCCAGATCATTAATGTATAATATAAATAGTGTGATCTCAACACTGCGCCCTATGGAACTTCACTGCCATCTGAAAAAAGATCCCTTTAACCCCACTCTTTACCTTCTGCTAGACAGCCAACCCTCCATCCATACCATACCTTGACCAATACCTTTCTGTCCTCATGTCTACAATGTAGTTCTTTGGTCAGGGTACCAATTCCTTCTTCAGCGTCCATTCCACCACCATAAGGCAAACCCAGTTTACATTCATTAACATGAAATAAAATAAAACACAATTACATGATTTAAAGTGATTGATATAGGGTAAATAATATTTTGGCTTACAGAGCTTACATCAGAGAGTGTAAACAGTGAAGGCATTAGTTTGCTTTTAGTTTAGAATAATCAAGGATTATTAAGAAAAACCCAGCAATTGAAAGCTTTTAGGGCAGTTTTGATGGTAACCATGACTGAGGTCAAAAACAAGTAGAGTTTCTTTCCAAGAAAGAAATACAGGACAGTTCAGGGAAAGCTTTATGAGTACTGGTGTAGGAAGACTTCACAGTTTCCAGGACAGAACTGGAGACAAGCAGTTAAGTCAAACCTAAAGATTTGATATTGAAAGGTAACTTCTCTGAATTTGACTCATTGTTAAGTGGTGTTGAGGAATAGATAAGACTTTGCTTCATTGCAACGTTTTAAGATCTTTCAAACTGAGTTTTATTTAGTGTGTTCTATTTAAATTTTTTTATGTAATAAAACTTGTCTCGTTGGTAAAGAAAATCTGCAACCACATTTCATGCTGGGATCTGACCCATACTTGAATTTGTTAGAAGGAAAAATGTGAAACAAATTGTTCAGGAAATATTGATTTTTTGGATTCTGATGGTCAGATTGCACCATCTCAGTGTACTACACACCTAAAAAATATATAACATACAATAGATGTTTTATAGTTGAAATTGAAATTTCCATTTAACATCTTTAAAGGACTCAAGTTGATTACAAAAGTATGATGAAACATTAATGGCTCCAAGGGAATGAAAGATGTCAAGTAGGGAGTTGGGGGGCCATGTTGGACAAAAATATTGATTGAAGGAGGGTATTAGGAAGGAAAGGGAGTTGCAGAGATTTACAATGGGAACTCTAAGTGTACGGCCTAAACAGTCAAGGTCACCTACCAATGGTGGAGTGAAGGATATCGAATTCACAGAGTGCTGTAAATGGTTACAGAGGAGAGGTAATAACATGACATAAACACAAGGATGAACATTTTGAATTGTAGATATAGGGGAGTCAGGAGCTAATGTTGGTCATGCTTCTGAATGGTTGCATGGAAGTTGAAGCCAGTTAAATTATCAAGTGTGGAAAATGGGAGGCTGGTTTAATTTAAGACGATGGATGAAAAGGGGTGGGGAAAATGGAGTGTGGTTGTGGTAGAAGCAAAGGACAAGGTTTTCAGACTTCAATATTTGACTGGAGGGAATTTCAACCTAGAGAGTTTGGATATTGCACACATACAAAAGCAGACTACTGCAGATGTTGGAAATATGAAATAAAAGTTGAAAATGTTGGAAATACAAAGCAGGTCAGACATTATCTGTGCACAGAAATAGAGCTAACTGAAAGTTGAGTGCAGGAAGTACTTTTTTTAAAAAATTCAGCCCAAAAAATTGCAAAGAAATTTGAAGGTGATCTCTTGCTCAAGAAAGAGATGTACAATTGGGGAATTGGAAGGAAACAAAAGGATAAATCAAAATACACCATTCATTTAATTTTAAGCAAATTTATTGTATGAAAATTTAATTATCATTATGTCCAGGAAATCATCCGTACTGCTGCTGTTTCTTGATTACATAAAGAATGCATGTACATGTTATGGTTTACATTCAAGATTTCTTTCAGAATCAGTTTCATATTTTAACAGTGTAGCCAGAAGAAATTTTTTAAAATGATTTTATATTACAATTGCAGCACTTGGACTTAATGGCTAAAAACCTTACATTTATATTGCACTTTTCAAAAACTGCCAGTATCTCTAAGCACTTTACAGCAAATTTGTGCATAACAAACTCCCAAGAATAGCAATGTGATAACAAACACCAATCTATATTTTTGAATGTTGATTGAGGGATTAATATTGGTCAGCACATCAGCTTTTCTTTGATACAGTGCCAGGGGGTCTTTTAAATCTACCTGAGCACTCAGATGAGGACTCAGTTTAACAACTTGGCCAAAAGACTCCCTTAGTGCTGTACTGGAGTGTCAGAGTCAGAATTTTTCAGCTTAGATTCTGGAATGGGTCTTGAATCTGAAACCTTATGACACACAGGCAAAGGTGTTATCAATTGAGGCAGGGCTGGTATGGTCACAAATACAGGATGACAAAAAAAACAGTAATGTAGAATCACTGCCTTTGTGGCTTTGATCATATTTGGTTGTGCGCTGTAATTCTAAATTCACAAATTACCTCCTCTTACGATCATGCATTCACCAGTGTCAAACTACGTTGGCGAGTCCTGAAGAAATTACATTGTTCTTTTCCTCCAATTTATGCATTTAGTTTGGGATCTGTATGAGTTGGAGGAAGTGCCAACATTTTCACGTAAATTGCATAGTGTTTGGAACTCAGATAGACTCCGAAGAGAGTTTGGAGGATTAATATGAAGCTCAGTTTCCTCATAACTGGCTGACAAACAGTAATCCAGAATCGTAATATATTTCCTCTCTGTGGCATTGGGGCTGTATTATATCTGGAGCAAAGACAGCAAAACACAGTTAGAAAATAAATACTATTTAGAATACTTGTACATAAGAGGTAAAGGTAAAGTTGCCAAAGTCTTACTGGACCATAGGCTTGCTCTCCCATCAGAAAAATACTACTGGTGATCATTTAACCTGACGGTCACTATGCCTTAGACAATGGGAGGGTTTGAAAAAGATGGTTCTTCATGGTAACCTCAGCTGGTGCAGAAATTAAACCCACGCTGTTGGCATCACTCTGCATCATAATCCAGCAGTCCAGTCATCTGAACTGTAGCGATGGAGAAATGACAGCAGACATAGGACAGGTAAAGGATGCTGCTAACATTCTTCAATCATGATTAAGCAACTTAACAGAATTAAACAACTATTAAAAAAGGACAGTGAAGGTGGTTATCTCAGAGTACAACGGGACTTTGATCAGACGGACAGATGAGTGGCAGATGGAGTTTAATTTAGATCAATGTGAGGTGTTGCATTTTGGTAAAGCAAATCAGGGCAGGACAACCACTTAATGGTAGGGTTGTGGGAATATTGCCCAACAAAGAGAATTTGGGGTGCAGGTTCATAGCTCCCTGAAGGTGGAGATGCAGGTAGACAAGGTAGTGAAGGTGGCATTTGGTACATTTGAGTACAGGAGTTGGGATGTCATGTTGCAGCTGTGCAGGACATTGGTTTTGCTACTTTTGGAATACTACATTCTGTTCTGGTCTCCCTGCTATAGGAAAGATGTAGGTAAACTTGAAAGGGTTCAGAAAAGGTTTACAAAGTGTTGCTGGGGTTGGAGGTTTTGAGGTATAGGAAGCGGCTGAATAGGCTAGTGCTTTTCTCCCCTGGAGTGTTGGAGGCTGAAGGATGATCTTATAGAGGTTTATAAAATCATGAGGGGCATGGATAGGGTGAATAGCCAAGATCTTTTTCCCAGGGAAGGAGAGTCCAAAATAAGAGGGCAGAAGTTTAAGGAGTGAGGGGAAAGATTTAAGAGGAATCCAAAGAGCAACTTTTTCATGCAGAGGGTGGTCCGTATACAAATGAGCTGCCAGAGGAAGTGGTAGAGGATGGTACAATTATAACATTTAAAAGGCATCTGGATGGGTATATGAACAAGAAGGGTCTACTGGGATATGGACCAAATGCTGACAAGTGGGGCTAGATTAATTTAGGATATCTGGTCAGCACGGACAAGGTGGAACCTAAGTATCTGTTTTCACATTGTACAACTCTATGACTCGATGAATACATTTATTTGGATTTTTAAAAATTAAAATCCCTTTTGTCTTACAACTGCAGCATGGTGGCTCAGTGGTTAGCACTGCTGCCTCACAGTGCCAGAGACCTGGGTTTGATTCCATCCTTGGGCAACTGTGTGGAGTTTGCATGTTCTCCCTGTGCCTGCATGAGTTTGCTCTGGGTGCTTCGGTTTCCTCCTACAATCCATAGATGTGCAGGCTAGGTGGATTAGCCATGGGAAATGCAGTAAATAAACACGATTGTCATTACAGCGACATGGCTTCAGGAATAACAAAGATTGCATCCTGAACATTGACAAGTATAGGACATTAAAAACAAAGGTATATAGGTAAAGGTGACGGTGTAGTACTGCTAATCAAAGATGGCATTTGTGCTAATAGTTAGATATGATTTTGGCTCAGGAGATCAGGATGTAGAATTGGTTTGGGTGGAGATGAAGAAGATTAGGGGAAGAGAGGTAACTACTGGGAGTGATTTACAGGCCCCCTAACAGTCACAAAATGTGGGACACGATATGCAAGAAGAAACACTGGGTGCTTGTGATAGAGGGATGGCAATAATCATGAATAACTTTATTACAGATATGAACTGGGAAAGAAAACAAAAGATTTGTGGTAGTAGCCTGGATGATGAGTTCATATGATGCTTAAAATAGGTTACTACAGCAACATGATTTGAAACTGACTTCAGAGCATGGTATATTAGACAATATATCATTTTGTGTAATGCGATGGGATTAGTTAATGACCTCAGCTTTAAGGCACCCCGGGCAGCAATGACCACGGTATGACTGAATTTTACATCCAGTTTGAAAGGATGAAGATGGAGTTTAAAACTAGTATTTTAAACTACAATATGGGGAACTATGCAGGCATGAAATCTGAACCAGCTAAAGCAAACTGGCATGCCAGGTTAGGGGACAGAGCAATGGAAACACAGTAGTAGACGCTTAAAGGGATATTTCTGAATACTTAAAATAAGCTTATTCCTACTACAAAAAAAAAATTCTAAAAGGGAGGACCCACCATCTAAGGTTAATTGAATAAGTTAGGGAAACCATCAAACTGAAGGAAAAGCACACAACCACAAAGATGAATGATAGGTCAGATGATTGGTCAAAACAAAGAATATATAGAGAATAATTAATAGTTTAAACAGCAGGAAGAAATTAGAGTATGAGAGCTAGCAAGAAATGTAAAAATTGACAGCTAGAGTTTCTACGGGTATTTAAAAGAAAAGAGCACGCAAAGTGAGTATTGGTTCTCTAGAGAATGGGGAGTTAATAGTAGATAAAAGTGGCAGATGAAAAACAAATATTTTGCATCTGTCTTAACTACAGAGAATACAAAAGTATTTGAATAATAGCTGTACATCAATAGATGGAAAGGAGTAAGGTACTTGGTGACATTGTGATCATGAGGGAAGTGGTACTAAACAAACTGATGGAACTGTGGGCTGTCAAATATCTAGGTCCACATGGACTTCATCTTAGGGTCTTAAAAGAGGCTGCTAATGAGATCATAGATGCACTGGTGTCAAATTTTCATACTCCCATAAATTCAGAAAAGGCTCCACTGGACTGGAAAGTAGCAAATGTAACCCTCTGGTCAAGGTGTTAAAAGTCTAAGCCAATCTGCTTGATGTCTATTGTGGGGAAGGCATTAGAATCAATCAATCAGTCAATCAATAAAAATGACTATAGCTGTGCACTTAGAAAATCTTGGCTTATTATTTTTCTATCAAAAGGAAATATTGTTTAATTCATTTATTGGAGTTCTTTGAAGGAGTAATATGCACCGTGATTAAAGGGGAGCCCCGAGATGTATTATACATGGATTTCTAGAAGGCATTTGATAAGATGCCACGTCAAAGGTTACTGTTGAAAATAGAAGTTTACAGTGAGGGGCAGAATTGCGAGAAAGATGGTTGGCTGGCAGAAAACAAAGTATGAATAAATAGGTCTTTGCCTTATTGGCAGAATGTGAATTTGGAGTCCTGCAGGGATGTGTGCTGGGGACTCCATGTTTTACAACTTACGTCAATGACTTAAATGAGAGGAGCAAAGGTACGGTAGCTAACTTCACAGAAATCACCTTGACAGGTAGGAAAGCATGCTGTGAAGACGACATTGGTAAGTGCAGACAGGAAGAGGTAGGTCGAGTGAGTAGGCAAAAATCTGGCAAATGAAGTATAATATGTGAAAATGTGAAGTTGTTCTCTTTGGCATAAATATTAGAAAAATGCATTTAAAGCAGAGAATGTCTGCAGAGTTCTGAGATGCACAGGGATAGCACATACTCAAGAAAGTTAATGGGATGTTTTCTTTCATTATGAGAGGGACCAAACGTAAGAACAAGAATAGAAAGTGTTGTTGAAACTCAGCGAGTCTAGTAGCATCTCTGAAAAGAGAAACAAAATTAATGCTTTTAACTCAATATGACTCTCCTGTGGAAGTGAATGTGGCTGGGAAATTATGTTTTTTCTGCTGTTGACAAAAGGGATAGAGGAGCGAGTAGAACAGATGGTGAGGGTGTCCAGATCAAAAGGCAAAGGGAGTGCTAATGATACTGAAGGAAATAGAAGGATGCAAAATAAGTGTGAATGACAGGTCCGAACAGTAGTAAATAGGTCAGATCTGCTGACAGCAAACTTATACTATCAACATGGGGCAGGGATGTACATGTACAATCAAAATGGAGGGCAGTGTTCATACTCTGAAATTGTTGAATTCAGTACATTTAATTCTGAAAGCTGTAAAGTGCTTAAGTGGAAAATGAATGCTGTTCCTGTATGTTGGGCTTTGCTGGAACACTGCAGCAAGCATGGTTGAAAATGTCAGCTTAAGAAGAAGAATTGTGTATGGAAATGGTAAGCAATTGGAAGGTCAGGAACAATCCTACAAATGCAGTGAAAAATCAAATGGGATTTAATTTTCTGAATCATCCATATAGATAGTTTCCGTTCAGTCTTAATACTTGGCAGCATTTTTTGATTAGTTACAGGAGTTCGTACATAGAAGTGTACAGCATGGGAACGGACGCTTCGGCCTATGTTGTTGGCTGAACATGACGCCAAAATTAAACTAATCCCTTCTGCCGGCCCTTGGTCCATATCCCTCCATTCTTTGCATATTCATGTGCTTGTCTAAAAGTGCCTTAAATGCCCCTATCGTATCTGCTTTCCACTACCCCACCTGGTAGTGTGTTTCAGACTCCTAACATTCTGTGTAAAAAAAAAACTTGCCCGTCATATTTACTTTGAACATTTCCCCCTCACCTTAAATGGATGCCCCCTAGTTTTAGACATATCAACTCTGGGAAAAAGACTTGACCATCAACCCTATCTATGCATCTCATAATTTTATAGACTTCTATCAAGTCTCCCCTCAGCCTCTGCTGCTCCAGAGAAAAGAAACCTGAGTTTTTCTAGCCTCTCCTTATAACTAATAACTTATCTAGGCAGCGTCCCAGTAAACCTCTTCTGCACCCTCTCCAAAACCATCACATCCTTCCTGTAATGTGGCATCCAGAACTGAAAGCAATGCTCTTAAATGTTATACCAAAGTCTTATAATCCTGCAACATTACATCCTGACTCTTGTACTCAATTCCCTGATCAATAAAAGCAAGTATGCCATATGCCATCTTTCCCACCCTATTTACTTATGTGGCCACTTTCAGGGAGCTATGGACTCTTACCCCAAGATCTCTCTGTATATCAATGCTGTTCAGGGTCCTGCCATTAACTGTGTACTTTTCGTTAACATTTGATTTCCCAAAGTGCAGCACCTCACACCGACCTGGATTAAACTCCATCTGCCATTTCTTCACCTATATCTACAACTAATCTATATCCTGCTGTATCCTTTAACAACCTTCTACACTATCCACAACTCCACCCATCTTTGTATTGTCCGCAAACTTACCAACCCACCCACCTACATTTTCATCCAAGTCATTCATACATATCACAAACAGCAGAGGTCACAATATGGATCCCTATGGAACACCACTAATCACGGACGTCCAGACAATGAAATATGCTTTGAGTGTGTATTTTCTGCAGAATATTCTATAATTTTATCCCCATTTATAGATGATTGGTATTAAATGCAACCTTTCTCCCCACAAAATTGCAAATATACTCAAACATGTTTAGGGTGCTAGGAGTGACTATAGTATCAAAACAATTCTTTGTGGCAAGACAGTACAAGCAAATATCATCCTCACCGTGATGCAAGGCCAGCATTTATTGGTAAGGCCAGGAGAACAGGATACAAGCCTCCTCCAAGAGAAGCTACTAATCCTCCTCTAACTAGGGCACATGTGGGACAATTGATTTCACCTAAACAAAAAAAAAATCCACTTTTCAATACAAAAATCTCATTTTAAATTTTAAGAACAATTTCAGCTTTATCTTTAAATAGCTATCCTGTTAATTAAGATGGTATATGAGCATCTTCAAAACCTACTTTAATCTCTTTTCTAGTTTCCTCCCTGCGCCGACTTTGCTCAAACTTATCTTCTTCTGCCCCTCTCAACCCCAAATGCTGGGGCATTTTACTGTTTGAAAGAAGACTTTTATAAAATGGATAGTTGTTAATAATGGCCAAATCCACTTGACAAATCTCTGTAAAACTAATCATGACTCATTTGGTCAAATAAAATAACAAAATCACAGTCAGCTCAAGGTAAAGTTGCCGTAGTCCCAGAGGACCATAGGGCTGTTCTCACATTAGACAGATGACTGGTGGTGGTTTAACCTGTGGGTCACCACACCTCAGACAAGGGGTGAAGGTGAGAGGGTGGGTAACCTCAGCCAGTATGGGAATTGAACCTACACTGTTGGCGTCACTCTGCATCACAAACCAGTCGTCAAGCCAACTGAACTAACCAATATTACACTGCTCCAAAATATCTTCAATACTAAAAAATCAGAATGTGCTATTATTTTGGATCTAGGTAGTATAAACAACATGCTTGCACTATCCATAACAAATACCTTACCAACCTGAAAGCAAAGGCTTTGATACAGCAGCATTATACCCCGCTACTGTAGTCAGGAATGGAAGAATTCCCATTGGTAAACTGGAAGCAAAACGAGCCTGTGCAATATTGAGTATTCTTCGAAAGAAACTGTTGGCAATTAAACCTGCAAATGCTGAATTTATCCCAAGGTAGATGGGTCCATATGAAAAAAACTTTCTGTGGGGAGAAGAAGAAATCTACTTTTCATTACAAATCTCAACTGCTAACATGAGCTAATGTACAGAAAATCTTTCATTAACTGTTACTTCACATTCAGTGTTCAAGAAACATCTGAGATGTGCGGAGCTACCTCCATCGCGCATATACAAATAGTTTAAAATACAAGATGTGGAAAGAAAGAAAGAATTGATTTAAGGGTGGCCAGAGTGACAGCGATTAACTTTATCAGTAATGATTCTACTACCACACATCTATTGCGGAACTCCCAGATTAAGTTGAATCTAAAGTATTCTTATCTGCACGCATGAGGAAACCCCTACCTTGATTCCAAACTAGTGCCTTATTCAAATAAGACTATCTTACTTCTGTGATTACTACATTTTCAAATTCCTATGACGTCTTTTTAACTATGCTTTAGAATATTATTCCCTTTTCAAGGTATCATATTCTAGAGTAATTGTATAATTCTAGTGTAACGTGCTTTTGTAATTCCTCCAACAATTTTCTTGCTAAAATGAGAGATTAAGTCAAACATTTATTCCAGATACCATGATGAATGCATTATAACTATAGTTATTTTAATCTCCTAGATTGCTCAGTAGTGTTGATCATTTATTTCTACTCCATTTAAACAAGCTACGATGATCTATAGATAGTATTGGTTTTTCCTAACTTCAATTGTCTTACACACTAAATAATAAAGAATATGTTTACCATTACAAGTTTGCATGCATAAAAATTTATACTACGTTGAGAAGAAATTTGTGCAGTATACATCTGCGGCTAGCTATTTTCCAAAACATTTTCTTTATGAATTCTGAACAGTGCAATGTAAATCTTAACCAAGGCCTCAGTCCCTGAGTTTGCATAATTGATTTCATAACCTGATTGAACTAAAATGCTCCAATGAAGAGGAAGAAAAACTGGACCCAAGAACAAATATGGATAACAATTTCACTTTCTTTGGCTACAGTATTGGTATTGCTAATTCAGACAGAAAAACAAGGCAAAAAGGTAGAAAAGGTAGAACGCAATCTTATGAAATACGAAGAAAAACAGCTGATGAGCAAAACAACAACCCCAACATGGGAGTTCTATCAAGTAAAACTTCCAACAAGCATCTACACTACTCTGTTCCAGCTGTTAAAGAACTTGCTTTAACGTGCCACAATCATGCTGTTCTAAAACTGCAGATTTGGGGAAGGGGATGGAAACCTATCCAACTGTCATTTAAACATCACCCTCAAGGGGAGACATTTAGAATTTGATTAAACCTTGCACAACATTATCAATTCTCCTAAGAGTGTGAGATCTTTCAAGGTTTCTGAGAAGACAGGAGGCAGAGTTCAGGCAATTTGCAAGTGCTGTTAACTACAGAACCAGTGAGGAACAAGAAACCTTCACTCTCCTAAATCCCATTGATCTGCTTTATTCGCCTTCACAAACATTCAACTACTAACATGCATGAGCCATTACAGCAGCTCAGTTGTAGGTAGTTTTCAACCTTCATTATGGAAAGAGAAAGCTTCAAGAAAGACAAGCCAGCAACAATATTAGCAACCAAGCTCACTGATATCGTCACATGTAACTTTTATTCTAGAGTTGCATTTCTGACCACACATTTGGTGGGTGATTCCAGGTGGTGTAAATGGTCCTTGGTCTTGAGATTGCTGACATTCCTTTCTCGGGTTCCTTTGCTCTACTTCCTCCTGCTGATGGGTGTTTTCAAAGTACAGTGTTCCTTCATACAGGAGGCTCAAAACAAGAACAAAGAACAAAGAAAATGACAGCACAGGAGCAGGCCCTTTGGCCCTCTAAGCCTGCACCGACATGCTGCCTGTCACAACCTGCCCGGGCACTTCCAACCAGAAGTGACAGCCCCTCAGGGCTCGTCTCCCTGTCTCACCGCGTAAGTGAAAAAAACGATAAAGTGATGGTATTTCACCAGCGGCCGAGGCCTCCCACTTATTCTACACCTCTCATGTCTCCTCCAAGACAGTTCCCAGGCATCGATGTCTGCGCTGCATTTCTTGAGGTAAGCCTTCAGGGAGTCTCTGAAATGCTTCCTTGGTGCTCCTCTCATTCAAGTTGTGGAAAAAGATTTGCTTTGGCAGTCAGAACTCAGGTGTTTTAAATCCAGCAGAGTTGGTTTCGAACATTTCATAGCCTCAGTACTGGTGCTATTGGCTCCTTCAAGGACACTGATGTTAGTACATCTGTCCTCCCAGCTGATGCAAAATAGTCCAAGTTTCAGAGTTTTATAGAAGGGTCAGAAAGACGACTGCCTTATTCACAAAGGTGTTAAGCTTGAAGGTTCTCTTCCAAAAGAGTAGAGCTAATATTGTCATCTGTATACTGAAATTCCACGTTTTTTTTCTTGGATTTCAACTGGTTGAGGTTGAAAGGTTTTCTTCTGTAGACAAAGTCCAAACCACTGGGATCTCATTTTTGACAAGATGAAGAATCGTGGCGATGAAGACAAAGAAAAGGATGGGGACAATTGCACATCCCTGCTTGACTCCATTTTTGACCTCAAAGGATTCTGTCATATTATCGTCAGTGAGGAACGTTGCTGACATTTTGTCGTGGAGAAGATGAAAAATGTTGATGAATTTCTTTGGATAGCCAGCCTACGACAGGGTCTTGCATAGCACTTTCTGATTGACTGAGTTAAAACCTTTGGTCAGATCAATGAAGGCCATTTAGAACGGTTTGTGTTGTTCTTATGATTTCTCTTGGACTTGTTGAGCAGTGAAAATCATGTCTTTAGTTCCATGGTTTAGTTATTAACCACACCTGATTTCCAGAAGAATTTCTCGAGAGGATTTGGGTGATGATCTTCTTGACAATACAGAAAAGGAGATTCCTCAGTAGTCCCCAGTCTACTTTGTCTTCTTTCTTGAATATGGTGGCAATGGCAGGATCTGTAATACCCAATAACTTTCGGCAATAGCTGTTTAATAAACTAACTTTTTATCTTGTTTGGAGCATAAAGTTGTGCTGCTGGTTATTTTTAAATTAAAGCAAACTTAAAAGGAGTTACAAGTGAGTTATCATAATATGCAATTCATGGACGACTCCAAAGATAGACCTGATGTAGTTGTGGCAATGGCCAGAAAATACATGCCGCATTGCACCTCTCAAGTAAGCCATGACTCAGCAGGGAATTTGTTAATGAAATTATTCAGATGAACCACAATTTAAAGGAGAATGGACTTTTAAGGAATACATTCACAAGTTTTCTGTCTTTCTAGCACTTGCAAAAAAGCATCACTCAAAATTGGCGGAATGGATTCCAGACTAGAAATGTCATTCAAGATTTTAGAAAGAAAACTATCTTGATGGTACCAAAATGCTATCAGACACCATCAAGGCCAGGAGATCCATTAGCTTTGGTTTACAGTTAGAGATATCTTTTCTGGAATATTTGTGCCCAGAGCAACAGGAATGGGTTATGGAAAGAACTTCTAAATTATAAATGGATAAATACTTTGGCTTTTTCCAGATCTAGGATGGCTTATTCTGGTTATAGGTTAATTGGCTGGTTTGTTCCCATTCTAGGAATGAGCATTTGCAAGCTAAATTGGTCCCTAAATTTGATAGGCAAGCAGAGAATCACATTTCCTCTAAAGGGAATTGACAAATTTAAGATGAATTGGAATGATGAATGGATGCTGAGAATGTGCGCACACTCTCTCTAGAGATTTAAAAAAAGACATGAGGAGCAACTTATTCATGTACAGGGTTTTGCGTATGTGGAATGAACTGAATGGAATGAATTTCCAGAAGAAGTGGTGGACCTGGGTACAGTTACAACATTTAAAAGACATTTAGATAAGTACATGAATAAAAAAGTATTGGGAGTGTTATGGGCTGAGTGCACGCAGTTGGGACTTGTTTAGTTTGGGATTATGGTCAGCATGGATTGGTTGGACTGAAGGGTCAGTTTTCATGCTGTATGACTATGAATGAACGCATGATTTATTGTCACATATATCTGAGGCGATACAGTGAAAAGTGTTTTGCCACCACAATCCAGTGCCATTTTGAGGTACAAAAGAATAAAAAGTACCGAAATAGACTTCATCTTCATTGGTCAGGGTCCCAAATATAGCTTCAGGACTTCTGCAAGATCCTCGCTCTGGGCCTACAGCAGCCGGGAGACCCCACTCTGGGCACCAACACAACTGCAGTCAACGAATTGCCACAGCCTCTGAAGGAGTCCGTGCTTTGGGCCTACTGCAGCCAGGGATCCCTGCTCTGCTATCGCCGCAGCCACCGCCATTCCAGGAGTCCACATATCAGGGCTACGAAACCTGGAATCCCCACTCACCATCACTGCAGCCAACACTACCCGCCATTCCAGGAGTCCTCATTGGGCCTATCAGCCAAGAGTCACCACCGACTGTAGTCCGGCCTCCCCACAATGTCAGGAAGATGAAGAGAAAGAAAAAAGACAAAAAGGAGAGGCAGAAAAAGAATGCAGCTGACCTGGAGTGGACAGGCTCAGCACGAATACTACTTACTGTGCTGGCACTGCCATCTTGACATTTAGAAGAACAAGATGTGATCTCTTGAAATATGTAGGATTCCTAAGGGGTTTTACAGAGTAAATGCTGAGAGGATAATTGCCCCCATGGAACAGTCTAGGACAGGAACCTTGATCAGTCAGGAAGCAAATGTTACAGGGAAAAGGTAGGTAAGTGAAAGTGAGAAATGTCATGATCGACCTGCCAGCGGAACTGGTAGATGCAGGTACAGTTACAACATTTAAAAGACATTTGGACAGGTACATGAATAGGAAAGATTTAAAAGGATAATGGGCCACATGCAGGCAAGTGGGACTAGTTTAGTTTTGGAAACTTGGTTGGCATGATGAGTTGGACTAAAGGGTCTGTTTCTGCACAGTATGGCTATTTCAAAGAAAATAACAACTTTACTTATATAATGCCTTTCACAACTTCAGGATGCCCAAAAATGCTTCATTTAAGTAGTAGTTTAAATGTAGTTGTTGTATAGTAGGTACCAACTTGTGTAAAGCAAGGACCTACAAACACAAATGCAATATTTACAAGATGATACATTGTTATGATTTTAAGGAACAAATACTGGACAAGACACAAGAAGAATTTTCCTGTCCTTTTGCAATACAGCCATATAATTTTTTTTACAATCGCTTGAGAGATATAGTTCAGATTTCGATTAATCTTTCATTGAGGAGATGGCTTATCTGACAATGCACCATGTCCTCAGTATTGAGCTGAACTGAGACTGAACCCACCTCTCAGGACAGATTACCATTAACACAGCCACAGTTAACATTGATGGAATGAGAAGGAGATAAAGATTAAATAAAACTGAATTATATTTCTGAATTAAGTTGACATTTCCACATTTCTTGGATGAGGAATTGAGGCAGTAGAATGAGACATCTGTCCTTCATTTCTGGCTATATCTGCAATGCTCCAGAAGGGAGAAAAATATTCAGGTGGAGGTTGACAAGTTTTCTTCCAAGAATTATAAAATTGTTTGCCTTTTTTCTGCATTCACATTTCACTCTTTCAAGATGTGCTTCACTTTCAATGGTTGCAGTTGGTACGTTACCTAACAGTAATACCCCAACGGTGAGTAGGGCAGCTACATAACCTCTTAAACACGATAATCAAATCAAAGCTTATTTCCTAATCTTTCCCACTTACATGTAATTCATTAAGGACCACCTTACAACGATTACTCAGATCTTGCTAGATTTCCACACGCCCCTTTTCTGACGTCCTTTTCATAACTGTACTAGACTGGACAGAATGAAGATACCCTTAATTCAGCACAGACTAAGGATGGTATGATGGCTGAAATATTTAAATCATGGTAGAGGGCATTTTTCTGACATTTGTTTTAGAAATTAAGATGAGGCCCTTGCTATTGAGGCAGAAAATAAGTTAGTAAGCATTTTGGAGATGTAGTGTCATTAACATCACTTGATTCCTACTTATTACTATAAATTAGGCTTAAATATTTATAGTTCCTAACCTTTTAATTGCAAATATTTGCTTTAAATTGTCCTGTATCACTGTGTAGACACTGGTTTTAAACGTTTCACTTGGAAACTATCATTATCACTTGCTGAAAGTTTATTTAGCTTAAATAAATGTGAATTGAAAGGTCCTTCATCTGAAGTTTTTAGTAAACAATCTTAACTATGGGGCACAGAAACAGAAATTGATGGATAATCTCAACAGGTTTTGCAGCATCTATGGAGAGAAATCAGTGTTAAACTTTTGGGTCTAGTGACCCTTTTTCAGAATCTTAACTACAGGTGTATGTTTGTGCAGACATAGATTAAATAAATACCTGTCTAATTCTGGAAGCTGTTGAAACCGTTCGAGAAGCATTTCCATGACATTTGGGTTGGATATACCAGTAAATAATGTATTATCCGCCATTCTTGAAACCTACAACAAATTAAGATTTAAAATTAGGTAATTGAAAATATTTTATTGCACGACAATGTCAAGCCAAAATGGCGCCAGAATATTATAACTGAAATGTGAATGCGTAGAATTTGTGAAAAGAAATTGCGAAGTAATTAACAGCATTACACCTGACTTTATTAGGTTCAGTTCTTCGAAATGAAAACAGCATTAGATAAAAAGAGAAATGCTACAAATACAGTAGGTCTGGCAGCATATAAAATAGATGAACGAGTAAAAGTGCATTCGTATACTTCGCAAAATGGTAGAAAAAATACCTGTGCGTGAACCCTTAAGTTCTACAGTGAACAAATATAATAGCTGCCGAGCACACTGTTATGAAGATAACAATTTCACGACTTTATACACTATCACAACAACACTTGAAACATTAATCTTTATCAAATATTAATATTCCACATTATGTCAAACTCCAGCACGCAGACATGTTGATCAACTGACCAAATTGCCCTTTCACCTACGTCGCCCCGCCCACAGAGGAAGCCCTATCCCCTTTCGACCAGTCAATTCGTCAGCGGTGGAGGCTCGTGGGTAGCGTCTAGACGCCAATCAAACGTGGCGCGAGCCTCTTCCGTTATTCAGTAAGAGCCGCGGCCGATGTGGGAGGACCGGGTAAAAAATTGGGTGGAATGGATGGGAAGATGAGATGGTGCAGAAATCGCAGTAGATAGCGAATTGCATTGTGCAAGGTTTAACAGATTTAAGCAAGTAGTTTTGGCTTCCCCGGGGAGGTGCGAATTTTACACATCATGCTTTATTGATATTTAAGTGCCGATTCTAATGTAATCAATGTAGCTGATAGGTGTTGGCCCTTTCTGTGTGTCCCGTGAGAAAGCCGTCCTGAGCTGCATAGTTGTCTGAATTAAGATACACGGAGGCCTGGCCCGGTCCCTGAAGAGAGATGTTTATATTCACCTCTGGAGCAGATGCGACTTGAACCCGGGCTTCCTAGTCCAGAGCTATGGACATTACCATTGCACCACAAGAGCCCTACTGCTTAATTATAACATTGTACTTGATGAATTTGTTCCTTCTCATTCTTCGGGGATAAACTATGGCCCTTGTTATTTGAGTGTAACTGTTGAAGGGCAATCAAGTTAATAACGATCACTTTAGTATTTTTATTATAAGGCATATTCGTATTTGGGAGCGATTTCCGATCCTCTTTTAGTCAGATTTCAGGGATGTTTCTGATTAATTTTTTTCTCAAACAGTGTCACGGATGGTGGCTGAGTCCGTCAGCGATGGGATTGAGACATTGATACGCGATGAATAAAACTGATGCTGGATTAATGTTAGGGACAGTCAGTGCGGGCTGACGGGCCAACTGCTGCTTCCTTCTTTGGATCCCGGCTCCAATCTGTTTAACTGCGTCTCACCGCCTGGCTGGGAAATTCTACAAGCTATCAAAAGAAATCACGAGAAGCACGATTTTTTTTGCCAAGTTGAGACTACAGCGAATGTCTAGATTCTCTTGGAACAAATCGATTTAAATCCTGCTTGTTTTATTTTCCTAACAAAAGTGCCAAATCCTTATGGGTGTTCTGAGTTTGAACTGGACAGTGAATTACCGTTCTATATAAAACATTTCGGAATTCCTTTCTCACTTTTAACAAATAGTTTCTTCGCAAAGCTTTTTATTGGGAGTTTGTGGATGTGTGTATTTGAGATTTGTTTGTATTCTTTAGCACATGTACTCCTTGGGCTTTCGTTACAACGAAGTTTAACTGCTTAAGAAGTTTCATCTGCTTGATGAGTGAGAAGAGAAAACGAGTGGTGTCTGCTATCAAGCCTACCTAGAACTAGCGAAGATAGGTGATGACACTTTGAGGGGAAAAAATGCCGGTGAAGAAACAAGGTGAGTTGGGTTTCCACGGTTGCGATATCTCGTTTGTGTTAATTTTTTTAGAGAAATGTTATCACTGACAAAGTGCCAAATTATGTTTTTTTTTTACCTTTTAACTGCGTTAGCTTCCAGGATTCAGAATCTTGTGACGTACTTCAAGGGGACTTTTTTTTTAAATAACCCAAGACTAATTCAATATTGTACGTACAGAGTGGTGTTTACTCCATTCAATAGTTGTTTAACCAAGTGATAGAGAATTTGGTTTTTGGTCAAGCTGGGCATCAATAGCTGACCTCTACCATATGCACGTATTTTGATTCACTGTTAGTTTCCAGAAGTTGCAAAGTAGATAATGCTAGGTTAAGAACACATTTTGCAAGAACTGTGTTTCTCTCCTGCTTTTATTGTTCCATTGGTGTTGCTTTTTGCTTATTTGATTCACTTTAAACTAAAAACAGACCAAAAATGGTGCTCTGCAGAACTTGGTGTTGAACGTGTGAAAAGGCGTCTGATGCCTATGATTTGTCAGGTTTGGCCTGACCAGGTGTGTGTGTGTGTATAATTCATTTTAACAGCTCACAGAAGTAACTTAAAATTCAGTAATGGAAGCCCCAACTGACCGGCCAGACTGTTTTTGCTATCAAAGTTCATTTCTCTATTTTGTAAATTGGGTACTTTCTGAATAGACCAATGAAAAACAATCTAAATTTGACTTTGTATTGTGGTTAAAATGTTAATTAGTATTGAGTATTTGTTATGACTAATGTTTGGATGTGCTTTTGAACTGAGCCAAAATAAAACTTTTTGTTCAATGTCCAATCTAGCAAATTGTATAGCAAACATATAGAAATGTGGCACAGCAAGTTAATAACCAAAAAATCTAACTAATATTAGCCAAATGTATACATTGTAGTGATTCCATATTGTCTCGTACTCTCAACATAAATGTTGTGTATTTTGGTCTAAGGACGTGTGTATTAATCACAGGATTTTCCTATTTTCATAAATAGCATGGCATTTCAACAGGGTTTATGCATCCAGTACTTTGAATGTAATGGACTTCCAATACTGCACATATAAGCACTTGTATTTAATAGGCTGTACAACAACATCATGATAAGAACACTATCAATGTATTCCAATATTTCACTGCTTGAAGTAATGCTTGCAATTCTGATTCAATATTACATTGCAATCCACGATTGGAGGATTTTCTAATGAATTATCTGTGTGTTTCAGAGGATTAGTTTGTTGCTAAATTTTGTATAGTGAAATGGACTTGGACTTGTATAATGGCAAAGATTGATATGTCAGAATAGGTCTGATTTGGTAATCTCATTTTTAAAATTGTCTGTTTACTTGTTAGCAGTTTTAGAACCAGATTTGAGTCAAATCTGCAGCAGATATCTCTTTATAGGATACCAGCTAGGAATCCATTTGGCATAAGATCCGCATTGGAGCCCAATATGTGCTCCTTTTTAAGGAACAGCCTTAAAGGGGTTTAAAATGTCACAGGTACTTTGACAAACTATGTAAAGAAGGTAAGTGGTTGGCTGGGGCAAGGTGGCAGATGGTGTTGATTCAGGGCTGCTTGGGTTGGGCAGTGTGGTGTCAGGTTTGTCTTGGGGGGAAGTTGGGAATTGGATGGGGAAGTTGTTTGGGGAAACTGGTACTTAGGGAGGTGTCTGGGGTTCAATGAGAAGCAGGTAAAGGTCTTCAGTTTTATAGTTACTGTGAAGTTTGATCTATCAAACCTTCTCTGGGTAACTATTGAGGTAAGTAAGTCAGAACTTTCCCAAGTCTCTAACTTGGTGATGGGGATGTTTTTGGGGGCTCCCGGGCACCAGGTAATCGTCACACATGAAGTTAAATTCCCTCGGTGAGAGCTGTATTGGGACTTTCACGTGATCCTGATGCTTATCCCTGTTTATGTTTCTTCACTGACAATCTTCTATAAGATCTGGACAAAGTGCACAAAATATTAGTGATTACTCACCAATACAAACAAATGATTGCAATTTATACTACAATTTATAGGAGAAAAAAGTTGCTGGTTGCTTGGCAAATTGACTCTGGTTGTGCAAGCTTTTCTTAAATCAAAAACATGCAGTGCAGTTTACAGAGAATGGGTCACCACATATGAATGTACGAACAAAGCAGTTTAAAATCATGATGCTGTGTGATTTGGAGGGGAAATTTCAAGCAGAGATTCCCTTACATTTGCTGCTCTTAACATCCTAGGTAGCAGAGGTGCTGATTTGGAAGGTGCTGTAAGGAGCCTTAGAAAGCTGCTGTAGTGCATCTAGTGTAGTGGAGGGAGTGAATGCAATCAAGTGGGCTGCTTTGGCCTGGATGGTGTCAAGCTGCTTGAGAGTTGTTGGGGCTGTATTCCTGCAGGTGTGTGGGAGTATTCTATCATACTAAGACTTGTAGCATGTAGATGATAGGACAGACTTCAGAGAATCAAGAGATTATTTACTCACCTCCGTGCCTTAATCGTTCACTTTTTTCATAGCCACAGTATTTATTTGCGTAGTCCATTTCACTTTGTGGTCAGTGGTAACCCTAATATGTTGATGCTGAAGATTCAAAGGGCTAAGGTAAGATTCTCTTGTTGCAAGTTGTCATTGCGTAACTTTTGAATATTTTAATGTTGCTTGCCACTTATACACACAATCCAGCCTTAAACTGATGTTTTGCTGCATACGGTCATGGACTGTTTCAGCATCTGAGGTGGTGCAAGTGATGCCAAAGTTGTAAAATCATCAGTGACCAAAACACCTTTCATCTTATGATGGAAGGAAAATCATTGAAACAACAGAAGATGTTTGGACCTAAGAATTGTTGGAGTCATTTGAAGTTTAGTGTTCTTGTTTTGCACATGTCAGGACAAACCGTTTTCTCTCTTTTTTCCACAGGGTTCAAGCTTTGTGCCACCAGAAGCCAATTCTAAAAGATTTGATATTTAACAAGCTCTTTGGTCTGGATAATCTATTTGAATATGATGCTTTCAATATCATACACAGTTGAGTTGGCAAATTTGGCATATTTGATGTGATTATTCACATTGGCTGACTCTAGGAGGGGGGTAAAATATTAGTAGGTATCAACTTTTTAAGTAGATGACTTGGGAATAGTGTATGTTCATGAATGGCAGGTTGATTTTTTTTCAACGCTGATCTGTGGAATGACTGGAGTGGCATGGTGGCTCAGTGGTTAGTACTGCTGCCTCACAGCGCCAGGGACCTGGGTTTGACTTCAGCCTTGGGTGACTATCTGTGTGGAGTTTGCACGTTGTCCCTGTGTCTGCTTGGGTTTCTGCTGGATGCTCTAGTTTCCTCCCAAAGTCCAAAGATGTGCAAATTAGGTAGATTGGCCATGCTAAATTGTCCAGGGATGTGTAGGTTAAGTGTCTTACCCATGGGAAATGCAGGGATGAGTCCGTGTGGACTTTTTGGGCCAAATGGCCTGTTTTCACACCGTCGGGATTCTGCTGTGACTGCTCGCTTTCTTAGAGCATATTCTGGAGCCAACTATACAACACATTATACTAGGTCTGGTATTGCACAACAAGATAAAATGATTAATTACTTAAGGCACATTTAAAGTAGCAACAATTATACAATGATGGAATTTTACATTGTGTGAATGAGAGCGGGTTGATCCAAAACTCAACTTTAAACTAAAATCGGGGCAATTAAATGACCATGAAAGGGGAGCTAACTAAAGTGAGGTAGTTAAGTGACAGATATTTAAAGGGGTATTTCAGAATACACAATAGGTACATTCCAACGAGAGAGAAATTCCAAGGTGTGGGACTATCATCTGTGGCTAACTAAGATGATTAAAGTATGAAACTTGAGGAAAATGTACACAATTACACGCAGCTTACTGGCAGGTCAGAAGTTTTTTGAATATTCTGATCAAAGAACAATTAAAAGATGTACAAGGAAGGAAAACCTAGTACAAGAAATATGCAAACAGTTTTTGTAGATAGTTTAGAAAGTTAACAAGTGAGTCTGGGGAGTACTTGATGAAAGAGTAAGGAGATGGCAGGTGAATTTATCAAGTGTTTTGCATCAGTCTGCTTGATTGATGATACATGTCGTGTCCTAGAAATAGCTGTAATCAGGAAGTGGAATGAAGCTGCCAAGGGCTGTAGATAGGCTAAATGAATGGACAATGATCCATCAAATGGAATGTAATGGAGAGAAAATGTGAGATTGTCCATTTTAACAGGGTATTAAAAAAAATCAAAATGGTGGGAGATTGCAAAGTTGAGATATAGAGAAATCATGTGTCCTAAAAAGGTTACTATGCAGGTTCTGCAAATAATTTGCAAAGTAAAATGGAATATTGTTTATTGCAAAAGGAATTGAATGCAAAAGTGAATTTATGCTTCCGTTGTATTGGTGAGATCACATCTGGAAGACTGTGTAGAGTATTGGCCTCCTTCTTTTAAAGAGGGATCCAAATGGATTAGAGACAGTTCCGAGAAAGCTTACCTGGAATGGGTGGATTGTCTTCGCAAAGATTGGACATACAAGCTTGTATTACCTGGAGCTTAGAGTAGGAGGTGAATTGCTTAAAGCATCTAGGATCTTCAGGCATCTTGACAGTGTGTATGTGGAAGGGATGTTTGCTGTTATGGAAGACGGGGTTGTTGTTTTAAAAAGGCGTTGGCCATTTGAAATAGATGAAGAGGATTTTTTTTTTTCTCAGGGCTATGAGTGTTTTGAGCTCACTGTTCCTGGAAAGGCGGTAGATGCAGAGTCTGGACGTTTTTAAGGAACAGGTAGATCGATTCTTGATAAGCATGAGGGTGAAAGGTTATCAGGGTCAGCAGTAATGTGGACTAATGAGATCAGTCATGAGATCCTGCTCCTAATTTGTATGTATGTAGTGGTTGGTGCTTGATATGCTTTATGTTGATTTCTCAGCCAATTTACTTGTGATATTGGAGGAAAAACAAAATGCAAAGAAGTAAATGAGATATGGTAGTCATTATCCTC